TAGATGCTGGCAAGCATAAGTTGATAGATTCTACCACAACACTCTCTGTCTCCGGTATAGTCACAAAGACGCCGCCCCTCAGTCCCGTGTACCCCACGACGGACGCTTCTAGTCCCTGCGCGTCTATCATTCAGTCCTTTCCGGATGTCTTTAAGCCAAGTCGTTGTGTACCTTGTGTGACTTCGAACGTCTTCATCACATAACGACGACTGGCCCGCCAGTGTTTGCGAAACCACGGCGATTATCCCCGGAGAAACTGCGTGCTGTAAAAGCCGAGTTTGAACACATGCTTGAAATGGGAATAATCAGACCATCCAACAGTCCATGGTCTTCACCCTTGCATGTGGTACCCAAGAACAATGGCATGGACTGGAGGCCTTGTGGTGACTACCGAAGGCTCAACGCTAAAACGATTCCAGATCGTTACCCAGTCCCTCACACACACGACTTGACTGCATCTTTAAAAGGCTCGGTTATCTTCAGTAAGCTTGACTTGACGCGTGCATATCATCAGATCCCGGTTCATCCTGATGATGTTCCCAAGACAGCCGTCATTACACCGTTTGGTCTTTTTGAGTTCCTCGTATGCCTTTTGGTCTTCGCAATGCAGCCAAACCTTCCAACGTTTTATTCACGATGTTTTACGTGGACTCGACTTCGCCTATGCCTACCTAGACGACATACTAATCGCTAGTCCAGACGAAGACACTCATTTTAACCACTTGAAACAGGTTTTCGCCAGACTGTCAGAGCATTCGATGACAGTCAACCTGGCCAAATGCCAGATTGGCGTTCGTTCACTAAAATTTTTGGGACACGTTATCGACGAGCAAGGCATTCGCCCACTACCTGAAAAGGTACAGGCGATCCAAGACTTCCCAGTCCCAGCGTCACTTAAAGCTCTGCGTGCGTTTCTGGGTATGGTGAGCTATTATCGTCGCTTCGTCCCCCAGTGTGCGCACATTTTGACTGCACTGACCGACCTGCTGAAAAGTAAGTGTAAAACTTTCAGCTTGACTCCTGAGGCACTAGAAGCATTTCGCAAGATCAAAACCGCAATAGCAGACGCCACGATGCTGGTGCATCAAGACGTAAACCTACCTCTTAGCATTGCGGTTGACGCCTCTAACACGGCCATTGGAGCTGTGTTGCAACAACTTTCGGATCACACTTGGATCCAAGTTGCATTCTTCCCCGGAAGTTATCCACCTGCGAAATGCGGTACAGCACTTTTGGCAGGGAATCGCTCGCCATATATGCCTCAGTAAAGCATTTTCGTCACTGTGGAAGGTCGTGATTTCATCATCTTTACCGACCACAAACCTTTGACGTATGCCTTACACACCACCACTGACAGATATTCACCGCGTGAATTACGTCACCTAGACTATATTTCGCAATTCACGTCGGACATCCGTCATATTTTTGGTGTGAATAACCGTGTCGCAGACGCACTGTCTCGCGTTTGCACCACTACTTTACCTCGAGCGGTTGACTTACGGAAGATTGCCGAACTTCAGGATTCAGACGGGGAGATTGAAAAACTTCAACACTCAACCTCTCTGAAGATACAGCGTTTACCGCTCCTGAACAGTGAAGTGACAATATTATGCGACACCTCCACAGGCACACCCGACCGGTTGTTCCTTTACCGTTTTTGATGCTTTGCACAATCTTTCGCATCCTGGCATCCGTGCCACTGACAAACTCATATCTGCTAGGTTTGTTTGGCCTGGTATTAACCGTGATGTTCGAAATTGGACACGGTCATGTATTCAGCACCAACGTTCCAAGGTGAATCGTCACAACATCCCGCCACTTGGAACTTTCGCCAAACCGGACTCACGATTCGCCCATGTCCATTTAGACATTGTCGGCCCACTTCCACCCTCCGATGGATATAGTTACCTACTGACATGTGTCGATAGGTTTACTCGCTGGCCGTTAGCCATCCCATTGTCTAACATTACTGCCGAAACAGTAAGTTGGGTCTTCGTCGAAGGATGGGTTTCGCAGTTTGGATGCCCTTCCACCGTGACAACCGACAGAGGCCAACAGTTCGAATCCGTTACCTTCCAGAAGCTGATGGATCTGTCGGTATGCAAACGCATCCGCACTACCACATATCACCCACCTTCCAATGGTTTGGTGGAGAGATTCCACCGACACCTTAAAAGCGCACCAATGGCAGTCGACAATATGAAATGGACCGAGTGTCCGCCGTTGGTTCTTCTCATCATTCGTTCTACACTCAAGAGGGATGTACGGTGTACTCCTGCTGAGTTAGTTTATGGCAATAACTTACGCTTACCGGGTGAAATGGTCGCCTCAAATTTTAGCGACCCAACTCCCACCGATATCCATGGCCATTCGCAAACTCTTCAATTACACATGCGTCGCCTCCAACCCCCATCCACACGGATACAGCGTGGACGGGTGCAGTAAGACAAAAGACACCAAGATTGCACTCACGTCTTTGTGCGTTGTGACGGTGTACGTGAGCCCCTACAGCCACCATAAGACGGACCTTCCAGGGTTCTCTGCAGGAAAAAAGTTTTTCGCCAATGACATATCTGGACGGCAGGATTCCACAAGTCTCGATCCTTTGAAGGCAGCTTATATAGGGGGCGACCCACCTTTCTCTACACCGACACAACTAGAAAAACCCTTGCAGCCAGACTCCCGAACAGACTCGTCTAGTCCTGCACACCTCGAATCTTCTAAAAGAGCCACCTCTAGTAGTAATGATCCAGTACCCTCCACATGTGCTGGGAGGCGTGCACATTGGCTCAAACGATACACCGGTTTCGTTAATTAGCCCGGCGCAACTTCATACTCGGTAAATTCAGAGCTTCAGCTATTTTATCGTGGCATGCACTATCAATGCGTTTTTATATCTAAAGTTTTCACAAGGTTTGTTCACTACTTGGAAAACAATGTTTTTTTGGTTGGTTATCATTTTCTTTCTGTACTTCCCCCACTTTGAATTGTTTGGCTTTTCTGTTCTTAGCACTCTAATGTCCTATTTCTTTCTTCCTGCAAAACCTAGGAAATGCGTTGAAAACTGGATACAGTTAGCCGCTGACGATGCTACTTGGATCGTTCTTCTGTTCTCTTTGTACCAATTTCCCCTTGGACACTCCCCGGTAGATTAAGAAGCAATAGGGAAAAGTAGATGGAGGCTTTGGGTCACCTTCCACCACTGCCACAAGGGTTGCGTCTAGACGCAAAGTTATCTTACCTCGTAGGTGTGCATAGTTGCACTAGCTTCGGAGACCCACACGTCACCCACTCCATCACGAATATGGAAAGATGTTGCGTGTCCGTCTCGCAGTTGCCTCCTAGGATCGAAGGTTGCCGGTATCCCAACAACCTTCTGGGAAGGGGACAACCTGTGGTGCACCTTCCTGGCACCAAAATATAACTAGGGCTAAAATAAATAGATTAAATTCAATTAATTAAATAAACCTGTAGCTTGTCTCCGGTTGCTTAGGGTGTTTTTAAATTTTGTTTTAACGAGCATACATCCGAGCAGGCCCGGACGCCATTTTGAGCTCCACTGTGCTGATTACCACGCACGTGCTCCGAGTCCTTAGTTCAGCCTTACAAGCCAGATAAGTTGATTAAACTCTTCCCCATTCATTATTATTACATTTACTTCAATTAAATACATCGCTCCCTCAAATATATTCCGTATCAGTCCTTTTGATTTGTGTTTTGTTATCAGTACTTGCACGTTGGGTAAAGTGCTGGTTAAGCAGGTACTATAGCACATCAAGTTGAGTAGGGTTGATCAAACGTTACGGAATTGTAACACACACCCCTACAAACTACTGGCGAACAGCTTCAAAATTCCGGGAGCTGTGCGCAACGATGAGGATTTTCAAGCCCTACAAGAAACTTGCAGGCAACAGTTGATTATAACGGTATGTGGTTACTGGAAATAAACACGTAGCAGCGTAGTCATAAGCATCGGCCATGATGGTCCACTTGACTGCACAACTAATCACATAAAACTACCCAAGGTTTCTGAGCATGTGAATTTAGTGTTCATCGCAAAACAAAACCTTGCAATCACAGTGGACTTCAGAGCATCAGCTGTGAAAGATTAAGGGGCCTTTCGGCCCCTTCGAAAGACCTTTTTGTACTTTAATCCCGATTTGTATCAGATACATTATCCGATATATATCAAGTTTCGTTTGAAATATGTGACCGTCCGATTCTTCAAATATGGTGCAGACATGTCAAAAATATTCAGATGGTCTGGTAACAAAACGGTCAAAGAGCGACTAAGTTGACTTCATCGATTTCAACCATCTTGCCGCAGACTGTTAGCGGACCACTGGCGGAATTCCCCTAAGGGAACTTGACAGATGAAGAGGCTAGTCGTTGGCTCTCTGTGCCTGTAAATTGCCCACAAATGTGATACTAAGAAAGAACACAATACAGTGGTCAGGTGGGGATAGTATATCTGAAAGAGGGTGCAAAATGCTGGAGCAGTCTGACTGACTGACTACGAGACTGTTTACGAGCAACGTAATGTAACACCACAATGTGCCGAATCTCCTAGACGCTTGACCGTGTATCTTCAGTTTCGCCGGTTCATCATAACTATGAGGACCAGCATCGATGATGAACTTCACTGAGTTCCAGGCTACCGATTTTCTAGGATTATTTTGCGCTACAACGAACCACCTTACTGTATGCTAAGTAACGATTTGCCTGCTAAAACACGTCTTTTGTTCCTACCCTTCGGAACTAATCTCTCCAGAGGATGTCACAAAAACTAGAGAGGCCTTGGTCAAGTTGTCTACGTCTGGAAGTCCGTTTCTCGAACCGAATTTTAAACCAATGGAATATTTTGATACAGTATGTTGATTTGGCACCTTCTATGGTCACTTGAAGAGTAAGATTCAGCCTCCGCAGAACTCATTATCACGAGAATTGATACGGGTCACCTGACTGGCAATCCTAATTTCTGAAAAATGAACCTAACAGCTGAACCTTGTTTTGAACGATCCACGAAGCGGCGGCTGACTTGAAGACCAATATTGGATGTTGGTCATGTTTGCAGTTTTCGTTCTTATCTCGCATTCCGTGATTATCTCAGGTTCTCCTATATTTTGAATAAAATAAAAAAATATTTAGATTCTAACGCTCAGCAGGGCACCGTGACATGTGGCTCTGTGTTAAAGTTAGTGAACACTGACTACAATGTCAGGCTTCATTCGCACGAAGTTCAGTACGGTAGTGGAAGTGGACAACAATCTGTTACTGCTGTATCTGAAGAAATGGATACCAATAGCTACTGGCAGGTCAGTTTACCGTATGTGATGCATAATAAGTGGTTTGATGTAAATTGACAAATTACTTTACTAATTGGGTTAGTCAGTGGTAGACAACATTTTCGCGGGTCAAAACTCGGAGTCATGTTTCAGATTGCCACGCTAACATGGGGCGAAATGCGTGATTGCGCAGCACTTCCTCAAGTTTTTAACCTCTGTGTTTTACCCCGCGAAATGCCCCATGTTCTTCCGTTTTGCCCCGCACTTTTTATTCCCCGTGTTTTAAAAATGGCCCTGCGAAAATGTTGACTGGGAGCCATGCCATGGAGATACTCCATTAAAAGAATACGTGGCGTAGTCAGAGTGAAAATATTTGCATTTCGACTGTCTTACTACCTAATTTGGGATATGTTCTACTGGTAAAAACAATCCATGTACGATATCTTTTAAAGATGATATAGAATATTTATGACTGTGAGAAATTATTTTAGTATTGCGTTGTCTGAGCTGGATGATTTGGTTGGGATGCTTTCATTGTCATTCTGGACAGTGTCTCTTCAACTAATGTCGTGACGGTTAGACGATCCAGCTAGTAGAATGCAGGACTGATCTTATTAGATGATAGTCGTTTTTGTATCTTTTTCGTCAGTGTTTTCAATTAGCACTGTGACTCAAAGGCCACCTATAAGACTAGTAACAAAGTCAGAAATTGGTAAACAATGAGTAAACACATAAATGGTATCTGAAAGCCAAACTTGTTACATAGACATCAAGAGGACTGAACTAGGTTTATATGACCTACTAACTCCGCACAACTCAGTACAGCCCACCCGTTACCGAATCGTTTGTAACGCCACTATCATCGCAAACCTGGCTCAACCTCATGCTTCTCTGTAGACATCTCCTCCAGTTACCATCTCCTACTAATAGTGTTACTATCTATTCCGATAAATCATTCTATGATCTTACTTGCTCCTTCTCTTTCTTCTGACTCTATGTTCTCACACTATTTAGTAAAAGTTCTCCCTGTCGCTTTTCTCCCGTGAATCTGCCTAGGTTTCTTCCTTTTCACCTTTTCGTTTCTTTTTCTCCTCACTTCATCTCCCTTGATTTCTCTGGACATCTTTTCTATCTTTGTTTACAACCAGTCCGACCAACTATCTAATGACACAATACTTAAGAAACCCATCTACCCCACAGTCCTTGAAAAACAACACAATCCCTACAAATTTAATCAACGCCCAGCCGCCCGTCAGGCTAACCAGAGATACAGCAGGCGAGTGAGTAAACCTACTGCATCGGAAGCCACCAGACCCGGAACCGTTCCGCATGACCTAGAAGCGAGCGCGAAGAGATCATTTGGTGTACACTAGCTCGTAAAAAGATATTGGATATTTGAAGCGGGTTAAAAGCATCATGAAAGGTTTAAAATAGTAGGCAGTTATAGGATGTTATTTTCAGAAACGTGTCGGATTGAGTTATCCCATTTCGTGAGGGTCTGTGAAGTGAGTTTCAGTGGGGGTAGTATGTGTACTCAATGAAGAGGTGGTAGTCATTTCTAGGTGAGCTACTGGTATGTATGGATTTCCACTCAATAGCAACATACTATCATGTACAGATTACCTCCACGAAACATTCGAAGTCTGAAGACACTCACAAAACCCTTCTATGTGCAAGCAGATAGCCACGTCTCCAAATCGGGATAATTCATACCTTACACTTACTCTGTGGTCAACATAAAACTATGAGGCAGAGTGAAGATGAGATACCGACGTAGTAATTGTACATCCTTGCCGGTTAATATCCAGTTCTGTGTTTGTTGATCTTGGTCGATAGTGTATGCATACACTCGTTTATCTTTCATGAGGTCACATCCCTACAGTGTTGAAACCAAGGTATGAGGAATTTTAGCAGCTGGTATCACTAGTGGATACCTTCACGCTCAGTCACGTCATAAGCACGAGACGTTAATTGGTCTCATTATTGACTTAGGCTTTAGTGATGATATATGGTCATCTGCAGACCACATTTCTCGAAGACCCAAGCACAATTTCTACCTTTTAGTTAAGCAGTGGTCAATGTGAAAGTGGCCCAAGACACGCAGGATAAATTTGCTATTCATTTAGGCTTTGAATTGCTAACAGCTGTTCCCATCACAACTAAATACCATGCCGAGCCAGGTTCATAGCTAGCTGTCGAGTCTCTACAAATTATCAATGAACGCAAAAGACGCTATGGAAACAGTAAGTAAAGCTCCCTGCGATTTCGAAGAATATCTTGTCAATAAACAAATGGTCTCTGCCAGCCCGTTACAGCCTTTTTACGACTGTCAGTGTATTGTGGTAGGTGGCTGGCACGATGGTGTTCGTGAAGACTGTGACGCCTTATGATCAGAATGCACAAGTTTAATGGGAGCAGCAGCTACAACTGGAAATAGTTGACAGCTGTTGCAGCTCACCCGAGGTATCGGCAGCAAGAAATGAGTGGAACAGTTTATGGAGTAAATGATATGCCAGTCGCCAACTTTCATAGGCACGTGGCAACCTGGGTAGAACACTGAAAAGCAGTTCAGGTGGCCTGCTGCTCCAGCAATCTTCGCATTAATTTAATGTGCTGCATAGCCATTTGACACTAATCAACTTAGCGAAACGATGTCCATAAGGAACTCCAAGTTCTTAAGCTTCACAAGACACCCGGCCCCGACAGCCCTTCTTTAGCTCTGTTTAAGAATGGAAGTGATAGTCAGAGAACTGACCATAGTGTCTGAGAAGAGATGGTGGACTAAGCGTCCCATCAGTGGTGAATGAGGCCTTTGTCGCACCCACGTTTAAAATGAGTCTACATAGTGAATGTGGTGGTCATCGAGACATCAACCTACTAGCGGTTGCGCCTAAATATCTGGCTGCTGTCTTATTACACAGAATGTACGAAACGCACCAGAATGTGATCCGTGCAGAGCAGGTCGGGCTTCTTTCAGGCCGTGAACGCATTGGTCACGTCTTTAGCCTCCATCATTTGCTCAGACACCCTCAGACGTATTGCAGGCTGATGGTCTATGTCGTTCCTGATATTAGGGTTGTCTTCGAACCATTGGACAGGACTGTACTCTTGAATTGTGCTTGAGGATTTCATAACGTCTTGAAAGACCTGTACTTCAACGTCTGAGGTAAAGTGAGTGTACAAAACCACCTATCTCCATTATTTCAAACCAATATTGTAGTTTGGCAAAGGTGCCTAATTTCGCCATTGTACCTTGACGTTGATGTTCTCAAGACACCCCTGGAGGAAGTGCGTGATGATAGTGGTTCTAAGTTTTACCGAGCAAAGAACGTTTTGACCTTGAGTATGCAAACCATGTCATTTTACTATTTGACAACATACGAGCTACTCAGATCCCACCCGATAAATTGACAATCAGTGTCCCTAAGTACGGTATGCGTTTTGCATCATGGAACTACATAGTACTTTTGCATGACTAACCAGAGCGCGTACCTGCATTCGCCCATGACCTTGAATCGCAGGAAGTTGTTGAGTGCTGGTTTAGGTGTGACTGATGAGATTCCCAACTGATTCAAAAGCCAGAGCGGCATGCTTCAATCAAAGCCACGTTTGGCGCTGCCGTGATGTTAATCTTGTTGTAAATGGTCGGGTGTATATCTCGTCGTGCAGGCATTTTTACTGTTTGGGAAACCTTGCCTCTCCGATCTGAGTATGTTTGATAGTCGAGTGCTTTCGATTACGGTTGTGTCCTCAAGATGACTTCCAGCGAGTGAAAACATAATTTCAGTTATTCCTAGTTCAGGCGTCGGCTGTTTAGGCATGATCCTTCATGTCTATTGAGTGTTTTCATCTTGAGGCACCGGTTTCGTTGAGTAACAGCTGTTCCTATTGTCATTTGCTGTCCACATTTTTGAGTCCTCTTCAAATAGCATTGATCAACACACACATTCTTGGTAGGCCACTGAAGGATATAAGTATGCACATGAGTTTTCAGTGGGATTATTATTGGTGCGTTGGGGATGCTGAGATGAAGAGGCTTCACTAACCTGCACTAAAATGTGTCGGTTTCTTATGTATCAGTAAAGCTGATCTAAAAGATAGTTACGGATGCTAGTAATGAGCACTTCATTGATACTGATAGACTGTGAGAGGCTATGCTGGTTTCAAGGTGTACAAAATCCACTCGCTTTATTCCATCAACTTCAGCCATCCACTCATGTTGCAGTCGGAAATTGTTACTTCTGAAACCACACTGTCCAAACATGATGAAGTTTATTCTTTCGAATAAAGTTGATAGCCAACTGAATATCAAATCTACCACGACTTTCAACATGGACAAGACTTGTCGATTTTTAGTTTTTGGAGTCACATTTATTCCATCCTTTATATGTTGGGACAATTCGCTCAGTCTTTTTTGGCATGGAAAAGTGATTTTATCGAAAGAGGAAATCGTAATGTACTTGGTAGTCAAGTAATCTCATGCAGTAGCCAATGTACCACATGTATTTTGTGATACTACCTGACGGCCGCCCAGACTTAAGTAGATGGGGCGGGGTTCGAACTCGCGTCCCATCCTTTGATAGTCAAGCCCATAGACCAATGAGTCACAACTCCAAAATTGTAGTGAAAAAACATGACGAGTGTCATATTAAGTGGTAATTTGGATATCTTCTCTATCGTTCTTAGTGTAGATGGATATATGTTATCAGTGATTGCGTTTTTATTCCGAAAAAATAGTCTGTTGTCATATCTGCTAGGCTTAAGTCGTATATTTGTTGACGGCTGAAATGAAAGCAGTTCTTAGGTTGGTTTTTATTGTAAAATATTTTACGGTATACAGTAGCTGATATGATGGCTTATTCGTGATCAAATTCTGTGATTTTGTACGCATCTGTATGGTCCATGGGATTTGTCTAAAGGTGGTTTGATTTTATCTACCTCGTTATCCATAGTCGATTCTCTCCACTTCTCATGGAATTTATAGATAACCTGGAAGACCCTTCAAAGATCGTTATCTGCTAAAGTCAGCATCATCATCATCAAGATCACAATGGAGCCAAGCATTACTGCGTAACAGCCAAAGTTGCTACACATACATCAACACATCAAGTAATACGGCAATAAAATGGAAGATGAAGAAAGAAAGAAATATGTGTATACATTTGCGCCACAACATCGGTTCTGGCCATATCACCTAGGGTCTCCAGTCACTGGTTTCTCTTGTCTCACAGACCTCAACCAGCTAGTCTACATCGCCCTACATAGCTCAAACCAACAGTCAATAACTTCATGCATTGATACTGTGTTTTAGTCTGACCGCCTTGAACCTTTTTCCAGCCTCAACCTGCTTCGGCCAACATTGTGTGACGAGGCAGACGGTGATTGGGCATATGTAACACATATCCCAGCCAGCCATCTCAGTCGACGAAGGTTCACAACCGAATCAACCGACTTTCCACTCGTCCTTAGAAATCTACACTTGACTCACGTAGTGACAACACGGAATACGGCCTATGATACGAAGGCAACGGTGGTCAAACACCTGAAGCCTTCTCATGTCATCTATCTTTAGTGGTCGTATTTCACAACCATACAGTAGAACAGGGCGGACTGCAACACAGTACACTCGACCCTTAACAGCCAATCAGATATCGTGGCAGGCCCACAGATGGCATAAATTGACAAACCTCAACCTAGCCAAAAGTCAGCATTATAAATTCGAGTTTCTCTGAAGAAATTGCTATCAAAGATGTGGATAAATGTGTGCTTTTTACAGAGTACTGTTCAACTCCATGCTGACTCAATCAGATATACTTGTGTGCAAGGTTCCACTCTGGTTTTGTCTATCTGGTGTTTTTTTATAAGGTATATTGTGATTGAAGTAGAACACTGATCAGGCATTTGTGTAATTCATAAGTCACTGTAATGATTTTTTTTCTACTTCAATGAGTCTAGGTAGTTGAGCGTAATGGTAGTCCACAGTGTAATCGAGGCAGAGTTGTTAAGTGTGGACAGAAGATCAGATTTATGCATCTTTCAACACGAAGAAATCTTCATAGCCACCACTTTCAATCTCCTCTTTCAGCTAATTATGAGGTATCAGCATTCGGTGATAATGGAGTTGGAGATGAAGGTGAGTACACCAGATTAACGGATTTGTACTTACAATCACATTTTTGATTTAGATGAGCATAATTTCTTTAGGAATTTCATGGTGAAGCTACCGGTATATATTCTGACTATTATCTTCCAAGCCAAGTATTTTGGATATTGTATTCATCTTGGTGACTTGCAGTGTAGTGCAGGACTCGCATTTCGTCCTATTCACGACTCGTCAGCTGGATGTACTTGCACCCCAGGGAGTGATGTTCCCACTGAGGGGGATTGAAGCCACTACTCATCGCCTCAAACCCCGAAGCGTTATCCACTAGGCCACCGGGACAACAGAGGTCGAGCAATTCGACCGAGTACAACAACGTGGAATTGCAGGTATCAATAAATAATAGCTGATACTCGTTGCATGAACAGTGATTGTCGTGCTCGAGTGACCTAGTGGATAAGGCTTTGGCGTTTGGGACGACGAGTACTGGGTTTGAGTCCCCTCAATGAAAAGAACACTCATTGGAGTGTATCTAGATTTACATCCAGCCGAAGAGTTCAAAGTAGGACAGAATACGCGTCTTGGATTCCTCTGCGGGTCGCCAAGATGAATATGATATCGTGAATATCCGTTAGTATCGAGGAATCTGCATAGAAGCTCATCTACTAACAAAGGTCAAGTAATTTGACCCCGCGTAGCAACAAAAAATTACAAGTACCACATAATAACTATTTGGGGTTTGTACTGAAAAGATATCCGTGATGAGGTACGCGTAGGGCTCTCTTGTTTTTGTGTTTCTTCCAAATCTGTCTCAAAGGCATAGAGTAGAAGATGGGACATAATCAATCTATATGTCTGATAAACAAAACTCAATCAATCAATATCAACATAGGACCAGGCATTACCGCGCAACGGTCCGAGTTGCCACACCTCATATCACTACATCAAGTAGAAAGGTAGTGAGGTGAAGGATGAAGATAAGTGAATGCAGTCAAAAGAAATATAAAGTAGGAGAAGAAAGAAAAGAGGAGTGACAAAATGGTGAGATTTGGTATAGCGTTGTTAAGATGAGGATAATGTGTGTGTGGGGATACATCTGCGCCACTGACATCGGTTCTGAGCCAAACTAAACTCTCTCAGCAACCACTTGTATATTCAGATACTTAGAAATGAGCCGTCTCTGTTGTATGAGGGATAACATTAGCTACCTACCTGCCAAAACCTCTGTAGGCAAAGCAACGTATCGGATCCATGACTTATTGCTTGAATTTCAATTGTCTACGTTAATTAACCGAAATGTCATCAATATAATGCGTATTAGAATATGCAAAGAGTACCATTTGTAGCATCACCAAAGTGGATAATGTTGTAGCTTAGATAAACATAACTTAATGTTGGACGCTAGTCAAACAAAATACCTAGATCAAAGTCCTTTTAGCATTGTGTATTTTGTCTATTTAACATGTTTTAAAGTTTTTGAAACCAGTAGCTCATCATACAACCAATGAATTCATTCATGTATTATTATTATTATTTAGACCAGCTAAACACTGTCTACAAGAACATTAGGTTTCTATGGCTAACTGATAAGCATTATAAACCTACAACCTGATACACTGATGCGTATTGATTGAGTTTTTGATAACTCACATCAACAAACAAGCCGATGGTAACTAGTCAAAGGATATGATAAAAAGCGAATAAAAAACTGTGATGTGAAGGTAAAGATGAAGATATCAGCCGATGAAAGTCCCTGGCTGGTTTGGTTGAACCATGTGAAAAAGGTGTAGACTGTCTGGTCGGGATCTTTGAGACAATAGGAATCAGTGATTGAGGAGTGAGTAACTTATGAGTGTACTTTCTGACATTTTTAACAGCTTTGAATTCTACTATGAAGTGTGGAAATGGGAAGTGATTCAGACGTCTACGGATAAATCACATCTTGTTTTATCGAAATACATACAAGTGACTAATCATTTCAAATTCGTCCACTTTGTTAATTTTCTCTCGAATTATATAAGAAGTTGGACTAATATAGTATTGATCTACGGGGTCATTTATTCCTTCACTTTATGTATGTGTATACATGTGCGTATGTTTATCCTGAATACTTAAGTGGTTTCCAGTTTAAGTGTCTTATTCTATGTTGTTTTGTTTTCCATATTCAAAAGGTGATGATTGGCAAGTTGTTTGTGATGGTACTTATTGGCGAAGGTCATCTAAAATTCGTTTGAAACATATTTCCACTGAAGGGTATGTTCATGTTTCATCTGTCTATATGTTTATTCGCCTCCTTGATTCCAATTAAATAACCTTAAACTCCACTTGATTTTTTTCGTGAATATGATTAGCTACGAAAGTTTTCAGGGGATTTCAAGGTTTCTTTAAAGAATCTACGGGATATTGTCTAACTTCAAGATTTTCACTGAAATCAAAATCTTCATCGTCCTGTGAAAAAGTTCACCGCACTGAACAACCATTTCATCCTGAAGAGTACAGCACTGTTAACAGATAAAAAGGCTTTACAGGAAGCGTGCGTTCAAAGTAAGCCAGAGGGAAATATGAAAAACACACCGATCCCCAAGGCGAGGTGTGAATAAATGTTCAGAGGAAGACATAGTATCGTAGAAATAACCTAAAATATAAAATGGTGAACAAAATATGGTTATAAGCGAAAGGGATAATCGAAGCTCCGGTTAACATTTTTAGAGAATAAGAATTACACTACTCATTATTAGTAAGTAGTACAATGTTATATGCACAAAAAGAGTAAACGTGTAAAATTTGTGTACCGTGTTGAATGATGAGTTGTCATGGTATACTGAACAACTGTTTTGTCGTGTTATGCGACTCCCCCTAACTGATATCAGTCCGTGTTGAATATCAACTTGCAAGCAAACAGTAAATCCCGACAAACCTTCAAAATTAAATTACTACCTTGTACACATTAGTTACAAGCTTTCAGGTGAGGTTTCCGGAAGTTCTAATGGGAAGTCACAACTGGTGATATGAACCAAATCGGACTTGTGGACAGGTACTGAATGACGAACTGACAGGCGACTTGAAATGTGGATCATTGAGTTCCGATCTAGAGGGTCAATGATGATTTGCTTACCGCCGAACCTGTAGGTCCTGGGTTCGATATGTAGCAGGATCATGGGTACGCAGTCTTCAGGAGTCCCATAGTAGGACGAAAGAGCTATCCAGGTTTCTCTAACTCATATCAGTCCGTGACAAATATCGAGTTGAAGTCAGCAGCCGCATTTCATCACTGCATCGCTATGAAGGCTAGCCCACCTCATATCAACACATCACAAGGTGAAAGGAAAGATAAGGGAAACGGGAGGTACATCTGCGCCATTCAGATCATTTCTTACCTATATCACATAAAATCTCCAACCATCCTTTTGACTGTCACGTAAACTGGAAGTCCAGAGTTCCGTGGACAGCTCAAAAAAACAATTAAATATTTCATAAAGTGTGATAACATGTTTTAGTCTCGTCACCTTTAATCTTTCCACAGACTAAACCTACTTCAGATAATATTATGCAACAGGATATACAGCAAACAGGCCCATTTAACACACTCCTCCCAAGCGATTGAGTTTACAAAGGTGTACAACCTTATCAATTAACTTATCAGCCCCTTCTCTTTGAGACTCTATGCCTGACATCTACGTTGCTAACGACAGACAGTTATTACTTTCAAGGCAACAGTGATCGGTCGACTTAAGAGTCCTGTGTGAGTTCAAACGAGGAGCTGGGTAACTTCTATAAACACATCTATGGCAAAATTCAGTCAAATTGAAGAGAGTAAATACCCTTGACAGATAACACTTCACGTACGTAGTTCTTCTCTATCAATAGGAGATTACTATCAAAAGATGTCTCATTCGGATGTCACCTACAACTAACTTGTCCAAGTTTATCAAAACATATTGTGAGTTTCTTTCCAAGAAATTCGGGACCAAAGCGAACAAGTGACTTCTCAACAATAAACTAAACTCTCGAGTTACACGTAAAATCCAACACAATGTTGACTGATGAAATACAAACCTCGAATCATAAGGTTCATCGCCAGCAAAGCAAAGAAAGTAAGTCAACAGTAAGGCTGTGTCTAGGCAACCGAAAGATGCGCGTAATTCCCCATGATGAGGTAAAGATGTAAGACAAACAAATGTCCAAGGCAGAATAGAACATCAGGGAACGCCGAAAGAAATAACACCATTTATGGATGTTAAATGCTGAACAAGATACAACTGAACAGAATGAACAGTAAACATTATAAAGAAACATGAACTACACTACTTAAAAGTTATTAAGTAGTATAAAGCTGAAGAGAGGATACAAAGGGAACATCGCATAGGGTAAACACGAACAAGTCACGTAGGAGTTAAAATATATACTGTTACTAACTAACTTACAAGTAGTAATTGTGTTTTAATGAACAAATTAAGATGACCTGTGTCTATGTAATGAAAATCTGTTTTCTGTTTAATTATCAACTTGTCCATGCGTATAGATTTCTTCATTTATCTGGTAAACGGTACAGTCGACCAATATCTGGACAATATGAAGTGTGCAGTACACATAAGGCAACAGATGCAATCACATGGACTGTTTCAGAAGGTATATACATCAATCCAAGTGATGTTCAAAATCAATCGACCAGTTCAACGGCGGGTACACATGATGAATTGTAAACACTTGCCAGTATATTTCTTTACGGTGTAAGTTAAAATTGTGGATGGTCAATGAGTATTTATATGCCTATTGTTGGTCTGCTTGAGGGACTATGAGTGATTGTGCTTCACATTTTAAGTATATGAAATCGATTGATGTTTAGGGGGGGGGTTAGGTGATTTTGGCAAGATCCAGCTCTCCCCAAGTGTAAACGGATATAAAAACACACACACACACAATCAGTTAGGAATTTCATTGGTCTAATCCTCATTAGTGACTCTGGCTTCGAAAGGTGATTCCGGAAGTTTCAAAGAGAAGTCGTGACCAGTGGGGAGGGCTAACCTGGCAGATGTGAGGAGAAGTACTCAACGATAATGGTCGCTCTATGTCGTGAACTGACAGAAGTTGGAAATATGGACCATTTGCTGATTGGCCACCGAACCTGAAGGTCCTAGTTTCGATCCCCGGGGGGAAGCGGGTCATGAGTACGCAGTGCTGAAGAGTTCCATACTAGGACGAAATCGCTAGTATCCAGTGCTCCCAGGTTTTCAGTGTTCGTCCAACTGATGTCAGTCAATCCATGAAGAAGAAGAAGAAGAATTTTATTGATGATGAGTGCTACTTCAACTCTGCCTATTCAGATTTCGCCAGCTAGCTAGTATTATTAGCCAACAGGTTTGAATTATTGTTGTTGCTGGCTGTTCCAACTTCTGTAGGTAGAGCTGAGTTCGAAACCCTTATAAACTAGTTGGCAGCCTACTGCCTAGATCACTGCGCCATAAGCGTATTGGAGTTATGGCTTTTTTTTAAAATAATGGATGGTGATGGCTAACAGTAAAGTCGAAGACAGACGTTTCGTCCTTCCCGAAACTTATCGGCATCCATCTTCATTAGAATTTTAGGGACAGAGTATTATTATTGGCTGTCACGTAGTACCAGTGCTTGCCTCCGTCTAAGAAGTCCTCGGAGGAAGTCTTCGAGTATTCCGGTGTTACAGTTAGTCAGCAGTTCAAATCCATCTCAATAGTCTACATCTAACGCATACAAAGTCTGTTAACATCGTAACCCTTTGTATCTTATACACCACTGAGGTGGGGGGGGGGGGGAATGTTATTTTTTTTGAAAAATCCTGTTATATTCCTGATTGGATATAATATATACGGTTAACTAACAGCTAACTTCGTACACTAGATACCACCGACTCAAATTCCTGGACGAGATAAAGAAGAGGACTGATGAGGATGCGAGAATTTATTACTGTTGAGAAGTTTCGTCCAACAGCATAAAATACGTATGCATAGGTAGGTGGTATATGGTACATGACTTTGCTGAGAATTTGCAAGCACGTTTTAGGTTTCCCAATGAATGATAAGCGTAGTGTTTCGATTGAAGAAACTATGCTAGGCATAGGATTATGTCTTCAAATCTTAAGAGGAAACAGGAATAAACAGAAGGAGTAACGAGGGCTCCCCCAATATTCACGATCTCTGTGGATATGGGGGATGGGAACAGATGGTATTGTGAACATCCTTCCCCCCCCCCATAATAATATGCTGGTGATATGTAGACAATATATTTGCAGTATCTAGAGAGTTTTCTCATACAACTCGATACTAAATCCTGCAATTCAATCGATCTTGTGAACTAGGATATCGAAGAAGGATGAAGAGAAGATGACAATCTACATATCAACGCTTATGGGGAACCAGAGTTCTGCTTGATTGAAATCTATACTCCTACACTATAATATGTTGGTGTATAACCATATAATTCTACTTATTTGTTTTGTTTTTCTCTCTCTCTCTGCCCTTCATTTTCCTCTCCATGAAGTCCATCGAGTTAAGGAGAAAATATTCACCATAACTGTACATTTCAGTGATATTTGGAGTTTTTCGGGGGGGGACTGTGTATCCATCGTTTTCTTTATTCAAACATGATTATGTCTTTTGTGTGTATCTGCCTTGGCAACAGTTACATTTTGATAAATGAGTTGTACAGACACTGTTTACACTAATTGCTTTAATCTTTTGTTTAAAAATGAAATTAATGTTTGAGTATACGACTTTATTTTTTTGACTTTGTATTAGTGAATTACTCCCTTTGTGTGTTGTTCCTGTGGTTGTAGGCGGTCAACTACTCAAATCATTGGTCCTTAGTTCGAATCCATCCACTACAGCTTACTTCATAAAAGTCGATTAGCATTACGAAACCGCGAGTCATCAAGCACAATCCATCAATTTTCATATTCAGTGTAAATGAGATTTAGTGTATCATGTAAGGGCGAGGTGTAGTGGCTTGATGTTTTGTGACACGGCGTAAAGTATTCCTCAATTAAGAATCTTTGCATATTAATGATGGGTTGTGGCTTGCAGTGGAATCCAGGACGCACATTTCGTCTTATTTGGGACTCACTGGTCAGCTGGATGTACCTGCTTCCCAGTGTGGAGTGATGTTGTTCCCACCCGGGATTCGGACTCGGGAGTGATCGCTTCAAACGCTAGGACGTTACCCACTACATCATCGAGCCACGATAGGCACTTCTTGTGCGACGGGTATATAGTTTTTTTACTATAATTGTTTTGATATGATGCCGTCGTTGCTTGAATTCCGGTGGGAACAACATCACTCCGCAATGGGAAGCTGGTAAATCCAGCTGACGAGTCCCAAATAGGATGAAATGCTCATCCTGGATTCCGCTGCTAGCCATGATCCATCATGAATACAGTTAGAACGCAGGCAATATCGAGGCATCCTCACAGGAGCCCATATGCCAATAGAGACCGATCAATTCGGTCCAAGCAACGATGGTATCATATAAAAATAATTATACGATCTTTGCATACTGTTGAAATTTAGACAAAGAGATGAATACAACGACTATGAACCATGTGTGGCGTGTCTCAGGGTATATAACACTAGCTAGTTGTCTACATAGAAGTGGGTAAAGTGGGGTTCCACCCCAAGACCTATTCTTAGTCATATGTCTGTCTATTAAAAATGGTAGTTCACTAGTCACTTTAATTTGTTCAGAGTCAATCTTCCTGTCCAATTTCAAATGAGAAGTTCGTGCATGAATGTGTTAGGTATTAGTTATTCGTAGATACTTGTCAACTTTGGCAATGAAAAGAAACATCAATAGCTTGATTTTGGTGCTACTTTTTTCATCATTCGACCTGTCAGATACTCTCCAGTACCCAGTCATCGATTCGATCTAGCTGACGGTTTTATAGTTTTTGAAGGTAAGGCATCGATCAAATAGTTGCCTTGAGCGCATATTCGTGCAGTAGGTGGTGAGCCATACCTTGGTTGGTAGATAGGATGGTGCTCGAACCAATGACCAGTTACTTCTTTAGAGACAGAGGCTATCGAAGTTTACATAAAGTCTTCATCCTATATCCATCCGACCAACTTATCTATAGATTTTATCGTCTGTATGACGTGTGTAGTAAGGTTTAGGTAGTAGTAATCGCGAACCCTAACCATTGTAAGTGCTATGTTAACTTATTTATCTATCATTGATGATGTATTCTGTAGGTTTGCAATGAACATATTAACTTCAATCTGAAATTATATGACGTTCTTCGTAGACATCATCATCAGCAGACACTTAAACTTCTCTTTTGTAGTGAAGTTAGCCTTGGATACCGACATAAACTAACAAACGAAACCGTGAATTTCTTAGAGATGCTTAGATGTTAATTGGATACAGTCTGTGGGAAACTTTACTGATAACTGTTAGCACACATCAGTAAAGCATATCTCCAAATTTGAGGGGATCAATGTCCTGTCCGGGACCCTAACCCCCGTCATGCAGCGCAGGCATTAAGAGAGGCTATCACTGAACTAATTGCTCAGCGATTGACCCCCGGCAGGAGTTAGATTATGTCATGAGTACTGACCGAATATTTTGCAATGTGGCCGCTATGGTGAGGGACTTTGTTAGATATTCAGTTCTTTCAGCATTTTACCTAATCAGAGTCACCTTCTAATCAATCATTTGCAGTGTGACATTAGAATGATTGAAGTTTTAGAATTGCTTGATGATGATATAGGAGAAGACAATTAATTATCTAATGTTGGAGGATTAAATATACTGATTAGTTGAGAATAATGCTGGATAGTGGCTAGCAGTGGAATCCAAGATGTGCATTTCGTCCTATTTAGGACTCATCAGCTAAAAAATATCCGCTTAAATCCACTGGCTTGTACGTACCGCTAGGATACTGAAATGAACAAAGCAACGGTAGGAGATCACTTGCGTCTATTATGTCAATACTGAGTCTTCTTAGAATATGATGGCTATGTTTTTCATCGCTTAATTACTGTGGCTTGTGCGAATCGAACCGACGTGGAAATGTGTCATTGATCAACGAAGAAGCAATAGTGTTTAATAATGCCATCCAATGGATGTATTTCGTCAGTAGGATGTACTTGGATCTCAGTCAATGATGATTTCATTCAGACTTCCTGTCAAGTCGAGGCATCCACATATGAGGATGATCATTTCTGTCTAAGTTAAACAACAGCAGGAGGTAACAAGTCATAATTTTGAGCTATACACGTTGCACGATGAGTGACTATAGTAGCTCACTAGGATAATGGATAATACCCCCGGTATTTATATCATTGAATACTAGCTTCGAGTCCCGGGAGGGACACTGGCTAGCAACGCTTCCTGGGGATATTGAGACATCTTCAAAGGAGCTCCAATGCCAACAGAAGTCGGTCACTTTGGTCTAAACTAATCAGTAGGAGTAAACTGTTGATGCGGATAGTGTAGAGAACTGAAGACTTCTCAGTTGGGGCCAGCATGATAAGAGAAACCGTTAGTTGGAGACACTAAGTGATATGGCCGTCAGTTATGTAGATGTATCTATACAACATCTTAATCGGCATACTGAATTCAATATTTTGTCATTCCTCGGTGTTGTCGTATAACCAGTTTCCACCACATCTGACTGTTCCTTCATTCGAATACGTACTCTCTTGTGATGTGTGGCTACTTGAACCGCTACCCAGTAATGCCAGCTCCTATGTTGATGTTATCTACCTATATTTGGTGAAATTAACAAAATAACCAACTACATTCACTACTGATAAAATGTCACAATTACACAGGTCATCTCTACACAGATCATTTGCGTTCATTTTGTAACCACAATGTCCAATGGTTTCTTTCAATTCATCCTGTTTCTCACACCAGAATACTCGCTGATCAATCTTCTCCACTTAAGACTTCAACCAATCTTAGACCAGAACTGTGTGTAACAGTCGGTTTCACTGCCCTGAACCTAACTCATCATTTCAACCACATGTTTCAATGCATTTTATGTTGTAATAACAGTTTTACACTTATCCCATTTCGTCTAATATATATTCACATTTGTTGTTTCGCCTAATCTTTACACCATAGTCATTCGCTTCTTCACCTTTAGTCTCCCATAGATTTCCAATCGATTTGATGATTCTCCCCATTCATTTGATGAAACACAATTGTCGTATTGTTTAGCACAGTGTGATTGTATAGATTTGAAAATGAAATTGTCACAAAGGGAAACTTTGTTTGAATTTTGAGGGAGTTGTGGAGATTTGGAAATATTTCAAGTTGTTATCCACCGTAGGCTGACATCAGTTGGAGGAACAAAGGAAACCTGGGAGCACTGAACAGCTGTTTCGTCCTAGTATGGGACCGGTGGAGTCAAAGCCTGATGGTTGTGAGGACAGTTACTCAATGATGACATTGGGTGGTGGTTGCGCTATATCGTGAGCTAACAGAAGTTGAAAATGTGGAGCACTGGGTTCCGACTCCATGGTAAGGCGCTGGCCGCGGAACCTGAAGGTCGTGGGTGCACGACGCTAAGGGGTCCCATACTAGGACGAAACAGCTGTCCAGTGCTCCCAGGTTTCCTTTGTTCTTCCAACTGATGTCAATCTATGATGAATAACAACTAGAAATTTTGTTTGTTCAATTTCTATATTTCGAAAAAATTTTGTGAGCGAAGAAATATTTCTCTTCAATTAGTGCCTTCTTCCTCATCCACAGCTCTACACAAACAAGTATACATATACCATTCTCAAAATATTAGATGATTACAGACCAGTCTACTGATGATAATTCTTGCATAACAACTCAGCAGTCTCAAATTATCAAGGTGTAGGGTGATAATTAATCAAGGCAATTAAAACGGTAACAAGTCAAAGTGTTTATAGAATAGTCAGTATGATAGTAACTAACATGAAGAGAACAGGGAATGAATTATTATGTCAAGTGGTCAGTTGTTGACAATGATTTGAGACAAGAGGGGAAAGGGTGAAATGGCTATACAGATGTCCAAGGCGAAGAAAGAGTCTGTATGAATGAATTTCTGTGGAACACACAGACTCGGTTTGTTTAGGTAAACTAAAATGGCTTCTCTTGTCTGTAAAAGAAAAACTGGTAGAGCACATGTGAGTGAGATGAGAAGGAATGTGATAAATACCTTTAGAGGCGTTGTGAATAGATTTTATAGCCTCCATCCAGCGATAATCACCATCGAGAGAGAAAGTGACGATAGCATCACCTTCTTAGATATCCGATTGACAAGAAAGATGGATGGAACTATAGAAAGACGTTTATATCGGAAACCACTGTCAACTGGTCAATTCACTCATTTTCGGGATTTCACCTCCTTGTAATAAGAACGAAATTTAGCCAAATGCCTTGATCCATCGGGTAGATGATACTTTTGATAACGAACTCCAAATTATCAGCAATCTACTCCATAGTAATGGGTATTAAGACAAGTTTCTAGGTGAAAATCTGAAGGTATGTTATGCAAAAACCAGAGTACCTACAGATTCCAAGAAATTGCTGTTCACAAGCTTCTCAGTGAATCTGTGATCCAGCACCTAGGCAAGGCTATAACGAGATTCGTTAATGCAGTAAAGTTCCTCTGTGTATTCTACAGTCAGTTAGTGATGATGTCGTGAATCAAAGACAGACTTCGCCTCTTCTATGTGCATTTACCAATTCAACTACTCCTGTGGAGCTAGTTACATTGGGCATACAGTTAGGCAAGTC